TACAAATCCAACTTAGCCTTAGAACGCCTAAAAAGAACCTGGCACTATAAAGGGAATAAGGTGGATAAATTATTAACAAATAGACTAAAAAAATAAAAAAAATAAAAGATTATCTCCAAAATAAGAACGGGAGAAGAATTGATTCTGTCACCAGATAAGATTGGCAAAGCATTTCAGTACTACTCAGGATTATATAATCTACCAGAGAGAAAAGGAACCATTAAAATGTCTGATTTTTTTCTTCAACTTAAACATCCTAAGATAACAGAGGGACAATTGACACTATTTAATGAACCCATTTCGCTAACTGAAGTCAAAATAGCTTTTAAAAAGCTAAAGGCAAAGAAAGCGCCAGGGCCGGATGAGTTCAGTAAATGCTTTTTTAGAATCTTTAAAGGAAATATCATCGACCCACTCACAGATCTGTTCAATTATTTTATGATACATGGGAATATCCCTAGAGAGATGCTGATGGCTCATATTGTGCCCATCCCAAAGCCAGATAAAAACCCGGAACTAGTAACAAATTATATACCCATCTCGCTGTTAAATAGCAATATTAAAAATTTACTCGTCAATTTTAGCGGCTAGGATTGCTATGATTATACCTACAATTATTCATCAAGATCAAGTAGGTTTTATAGCTAGTAGAGCCCCATTATTCAATATAAGGAGATTTATATATGTGGCAGATCTGTCATTAGATGCAGAAAAGGCGTTTGACAGGGTAACAGACATAAAATAAGGGTGCGCCTAAAATATATAATAAAACGTATAAAATATATATATTAATAAGAGTATAATTTTAAAATATTGAGATAAAATAAGTGATTAGCAATAGTCCAAAAAACTTATCAAAATCCGTAATGGTAGGTCCCACGTGTGGAAAGGAAATTCTTGGGATGTTGGATGGGATCAAGTCGTCACGGTTATATGCTTGAAATTCAGTGGAGCATATATAGAGAGAGGAAAGATAAAAACAGGACTCCAATGGCACAGTATATAAGTGAATAAAGTGTAAAATAATGAAATTAGTCTTACTCACACTTTTCAGAGCTAAAATCCAGCTCTGATATTGTGCACGTGAAGTGGAATAATCCCCACTCAAGGATATGCGGAGTAAGGTTTGATTGATGAATATCTGGCGCAAGTTCGGCGTCCAAATTGGTGTTGTAGGACCCAGAAGAAGAAGATAAAATATATAGTGCTCTCTGTATTATAATTAAAAATTAAAAGAGTATAAAATATACTACTCATGTAATTTAGAGCAGGCTTGTACTTCTCGATGTAAGCGCTTGGGTGGTATAATCGCCACCTGTGGATTCTTTGAGCTTCTTATAGAATATGCAATATATGTATAGTCAGGTAAAGAGAAAAGAAAATGGCAATAAAGTATTTTATGCCAAAAAACTTTCTTTATTATGAAATAATAAGAACAGTATCTAAACTGGGCTTCTTCAAGTAGATAATAAAAAGGGGGGTCTGTTTTGTATTCCTTCTTACCACAAGGGGATTAGAGGGGATTCCCCTTTGAGGAGTGCAGCCTTTTTATTACCTTCTTTTGTGGCAATTTAGCGCTGATTTTCTCTTCCTGTTTTCTCCAGTTTGACAGGGTAAGGTGGGATTTCCTTGAGAATGCATTATATAGCTTTGGGTTACAGGGTAATATCATTAGGGCCATAATGGCCCTGTATACATCTCCAATGGCTAGAGTAGTAGGGAGTGGGTTTTTTCTGATTGGTTTCAGTAAAAAAATGGTACAAGGCATGGCTGCCCATTATCCCCCCTGCTATATCTGATGACTATAGAACCCCTAGTGAATAAAATAAGAGATAATGAAAAAAGGAGTAGAGATAGCAGGTGAGTTTTTAAAGCTTACAATGTATGCGGACGACATGATACTCACATTGACCGACCCTCTGACATCCATGGAAAAAGTTATGGATATCATAGGAGAGTTCTCTATATACTATAAGTTAAATTTAAACAAGTCCGCAGCCCTCCCGTTTAATCTGACACCAACTATTAAAAGTAAATTATCTGACAAATTTGGATTTGATTGCAATAGAAATTCCATAGAGTGTTTGGGCATAGATATCACTAATGAGCCAAACAGAATGATGGAACATAATGTGTTAAAGCGAGTGGAGGTGTCCTGGTGGGGGAGAATTAATATGATAAAAATTTTATATATTCAAAGTGGGTCTATCTCCGCATGGTGCCTCTGCACTATCCAGAAAGCTGTCTTTCTTTGGTACAATCGATTTTGAAAAAATTTATATGGGATGGGAAACGTCCAAGATTAAGTTGTGACCATTCAATGTTAAAAACAAAAGTAGGGGGCCTGGGAATTCCACCGATACAACAAACGTGGAGAGTATGTAATATAGCACAGGCAATCATAACCCAATCGGAGCTGAGCAAATTTTATTTAATGATGATAAAAAGTAAGAGTTAGGTTATCTTTTCTGGAATATGAATAAATATAAACATAGACAGAGATTTGAATTTAATAGTTTAATCCTAAACAATATTATACCTACATGGAACAAACTTAGGAAAGATTTAGATCTACAAGACAAAGTTATCACTAGTCTCGATTTAAGACAATTGCATAGTAACATGATAGATTTAAACATACAGAGCTGGATTGATCTAGGGATAAAAGGAATTAACAATATAGTAGAGAATGGCAAAATTAAAGATTTTAACAGCTTAACAGAGGAATATAACTTGGAGAGTAAAGAGATCTTCACATATATGAGAGTAAAGGGTTATCTTAAAGAGCACTTACTCAAAGATTATTCCAACAAATAAGTAATACTACAAATAATAAAAAATCGAAATATTGATAAAAACCTTGTTTCAGAATGTTTTGATCTAACTGAAAAAGAACCAGAAAACATAATTTGTCTTATAATAAATAAATGGAAGGAGGATGTTTGTATTAATATAAGTTATGAGGAATGAACAAAAACATTAGATATGCTTACAAAGAATGTACACTGCCTTAACCTAGTGGAACTACAGTATAAAATCATGAACGGGTGGTATTTAACACCTAATAGGATAGCTAAAATGTATATAGGGGCTTCCATAGGAAGTTTTATATATATATATATATATATATATATATATACATATACATACATACATACATACACACACACACACACACACACACACACATATACTGCTGTGTGTGTGTGTGTGTGAGGGTGCTGAGTGCAGGTGCTGTGTGTGTGTAGGTGCTGTGTGTGTGTGTGTAGGTGCTGTGTGTGTGTGTAAAGGCGCTGTGTGTGTAGGCGCTGTGTGTGTGTAAGGGTTCTGTGTGTGTGTGTAGGCGCTGTGTGTGTGTAGGTGCTGTGTGTGTGAAGGTGCTGTGTGTGTACAGGCGCTGTGTGTGTAAGGGTGCTGTGTGTGTAAGTTTGCTGTTAGTGTGCTGTGTGTGTGTACGTGTAAGGGTGCTGTGTGTGTAAGGGTGCTGTTAGTGTGTGGGTGCTGTTAGTGTGTGGGTGCTGTGTGTTTAAGGGTGCTGTTAGTCTGTGGGTGCTGTGTGTGTGTGTGTGTGTGTGTGTATGAGGGTGCTGTGTGTGTAAGGGTGCTGTTAGTGTGTGGGTGTGTAAGGGTGCTGTGTGTGTAAGGGTGCTGTGTGTGTAAGGGATCTGTTAGTGTGTGGGTGCTGTGTATGTAAGGGTGATGTATGTGTGCGTGTGCTGTTTGTGTGTATTGTGTGGGGTGGAGGGGGGCATTTAGTTAATATCCTCCTGCCCTTCTTACCTTTTGTAGGGAGGGGGGACCGTGCTGCTGCCATCCCTGGTGGTCAAGTGGTGAGTAAACTCTAGCACCGCAGCCTGCGGGACTAGAGTTCACTCTCGCGAGATCTGAACGTTGACGTGGCAATGCTCCGACCTCGCGAGAAGAACCCAGTGGAGCTGCTGGCTAGAGCCCCCCAGGTCCTCTCCTGCCTCCCTCCATGCGGCTGTGTGCCGGTTAGATAGATCTTTGATCTCCCCCCGGCCCATGGAGGCTTAGAGCAGAGCCGGCGCTCGGATAGCGCCGGATCTGCATGAGCCGACAGGGGAGGTCCTGAGATCTCCCCTGCCGGTCTCAATCCATAGGCATGCCGCGGGGATTAGGGTGTGCCCAGGCACCCCCGGCACACCCCGTGCGCACGCCTATGGGGGCTTCAGATAAATGTTGGCGATGCGAGGCTCAAGCACAGGAATGTCGCATATATGGTGGGAATGCGGGCCAATCTCTCAAAAATGATTGCTTCTAAGATAAAAGTGCTGACTAATATTAAGATTGATCTAAATCCGGGTATCTATTTGCTGCAATTACACATAGCCCAAAATTTTGGGCAATATTCCATACTGATTAAACATGTTTTGCTAGCGACTAAAATATTAGTGGCCAGAAATTGGAAATCTACTAAAGTTCCAGTATGGGACTGTGGTTAAGTGTTTAATTGTGTGGTATGTTATATATGTTATGTTACAAATAGACAAGCTAAATGTTTTTTTTCTTTACAAGTTAAAACTAGATACAGTATTAAGTTACATATGTAGAGACGTATATTTATGTATGTCAATACACTGTGAATAATGTAACATTTTATGTTTGTATGTTTGATGTCATGTAGCATGTCATGTTCTTAAAATAATTTAAAAAATTAAACATGAAAAAAAAAAAGAAAGCAGCATCCAGGAGGATGTCAGTAAGTCGATCTCGTTTTTTTTTTTTTTAAATGTAATTTTTTTTTATTTTTTTTTGCTGGAGTCCCTGTCATTAGAGCTTGTCTGGTTGATAATATAAGACTCTTTGACAAATTCGGATGTTAAGGAATCTCAAATGCACATTCGCCGGGAGATCCTCAGAATAATTAGTGCAATATTTGTCTATCACTTCAAGGTTTTGGGAAGAAGAACCCTCTTAAGGGTCTGAAGCATCATGCAAAGAAGGTGGCAGGAATAATTTAAAGATTTTTGCAGGAGCCTTATCTTTGCCTGTCGATGCCCTATCCCCTTTAAAGGGGCGTTTGCATGGGGGTCACTCTAGATTCGAGAGATGTGAGTCCTTGGAGTCAGAGTTGTGGTGAGTGGGACGATTAATGTCAATGGAAGATAGTTCACGGAAAGCTGTCAGAGCTTTTGGTATAGACTCCATGACAGCAGAATAGAGCCAAGCCCACAACTCAGCAGAGATTGCTGTGTCTGTCTGATCAATTATTCACTTAACTGTCACTGAAAAAATAAGGCCAGTAATATCTGACGGTCACTTAGAAATATAGTGGGGGCCACCCACAGAATAGGCAGTATAGTGGGGGTTGCATACACTGTAAACGATCAAAGGGGTTCACCCTTCCAAAATATAGATAAAGTAGAGTGGGGGACTCCCAACAAGAAATTAGTATAGTAAACTGAAAATTTGATAATAAGTGGTTACCCACAAATAAACTCTGTGAGTGAGCAGTGAATAATGAGTGGTGGTCACCCACAATAAGTCCAGAATAGGAAGCAAGTGGGGGTCACCCACAAATTTTAAGTGGTGTCAGCCACAAAAGTTAAATAATGCAGACAAAAGTGGGGATTACCTACAATGCAGAGGCAGTAACAGTAAAGTGGAGGTCACCCACAATAAGGTGATGCAGACAAGCAGGGCCGGATTGGCCATCGGGGAAATGCCCGGTGGGCTGCAATGTCCAGGGGCCGAGGCCGACAGGGGAGATCAAGGGACCTTTCCGGCCAGCAACTTTAGGGCTGGTGCTTCCTGACCTCCGGCCCATAGAGGGAGCTTTAGATCTCTCTCAGGGCCCACGCACTGTATGCTCCTGTGCACTGTGCAAGCTATACAGCCTGATGCACTGTGCGAAGCACCACATACCACCAGAGAATATGATTTCTCCCCAGCTCCTTCTGCTCCTACCTAGGTTTAATGTAAGGAAGGGGGATGGGGAGTAAATCCAGCAGCCCCTGCCCCCCTCTCCCAGCAGCCCCCTTTCACTCAATAGCCCCTACCCCCTCTCACCCAGCAGCCCCGACTCACCCAGCAGCCCCTACCCCCTCTCACCCAGTAGCCCCCTCTTATTCAATAGGCCCTACCACCTCTCACTCAGTAGCCCCCTCTCACCCAGCAGCCCCTGCCCCCTTACCCAGTAGCCCCCTCTCACCCAGCAGACCCTGCCACCACTCACCTAGCAGCCACCACTCAGCCCCTGTCCCCTCTCACTTAGCACCCCTGCCCACTCTCACCCAGCAGCACCCTCTCACCCAGTAGCCCCTGCCCCCCTCACCCAGCAGCCCCTGCCCCCCTCTCACACAGCAAGCTCATTGCTCATTGAGCAGGGTCCTCAACCCCTCTGTTTCTGTGCGTCAAACTTGTCTGGTTACAATTACCTGTTTGTTAGCCCACCCATTGTAAAGCGCTACAAATGGAATTTGTTGGCGCTATATAAATATTATTATACAAGGCTTGACAAATTCCAGACGCCAGATCGCCACGGCGACTAGAAATGTCGCCCTGGCGTCTGGGATTTGCCAGCTCTTTAGTCATGGGACATATTGGAGGCGGCCGCCCGCCCGCCCGAACATGGAGGCGGCCGTCCGCCGGCGGAAGCATTGTGCGCGGCCACCGCCGGTGGGAGCATTGTGGGCGGTGCGTGAGGGAGCAGTACTCTGTTTGTAGCTGCTCTATGCTCCCCCGCGCAGTCTAATGATGTCGGGAGCCGGAATATGACATCATTCCGGCCCCAGAATCATTACAGAGCGCGTGGGAGCATAGAGGAGCTACAAACAGAGTAGTGCTCCCTCGCACACAGGAAGAGTGCAGCCCCTCTGGACCCCAGGAAATACCCACTCAGCTATCCCAAAGATAGGGAGGCTGAGTCGGTTTTTAATTAAAACAAAAATGTGTGTGTGTGTATAAGCCTGTGTGAGTCTGTCAAGAGTGTGTGTGTGTTTGTGAGAGAGTCTGTCAGAGTGTGTGTGAGACTGTGTGTGTGTAAGCCTGTCAGTGTGTGTGTGAGCATGTCAGAGTGTGTGTGTGTGTGTGAGCCTGTCAGTGTGTGTGCGTCAGCCTGTCAGTGTGTGTGTGTGTGCGCCGGTCAGAGTGTGTATGTGTTTGTGAGAGAGTCTGTCAGAGTGTGTGTGAGACTGTGTGTGTGTGTCAGCCTGTCAGTGTGTGTGTGAGCCTGTCAGTGTGTGAGCCTGTCAGAGTGTGTGTGAGCCTGTCAGAGTGTGTGTGTGTGAGACTGTCAGTGTGTGTGTGTGTGAGACTGTCAGTGTGTGTGTCAGCCTGTCAGAGTGTGTGTGTGTTTGTGAGAGAGTCTGTCAGAGTGTGTGTGAGACTGTGTGTGTGTGTGTCAGCCTGTCAGTGTGTGTGTGTGTGAGCCTGTCAGAGTGTGTGTGTGTGTGTGAGCCTGTCAGAGTGTCTGTATGTGTGTGTGTGTGTGTGTGAGAGCGAGAGCCTGTCAAGAGAGTGTGAGTGAGCGCCTGTCAGAGTTTGTGTGTGCGAGTCTGTCAGTGTCTGCGTGCAAGTCTGTTGTCAGTGTAAGAGTGTGTGAGAGCCTGTCAAAACGTGTGCATGCAAGCCTGTTGTCAGCATGAGTGTGTGAGAGCCTGTCAAGAGTTTGTGTGTCAGCCTGTCAGTGTGTGTGTGTGAGCCTGTCAGTGTGTGTGTGTGTTTGTGAGAGAGTCTGTCAGAGTGTGTGTGAGACTGTGTGTGTGTGTCAGCGTGTGTGTGTGTCAGTCTGTCAGTGTGTGTGTGTGTGTCAGCCTGTCAGTGTGTGTGTGAGCCTGTCAGAGTGTGTGTGTGAGCCTGTCAGAGCGTGTGTGTGTGAGAGAGCCTGTCAGAGTGTCTGTATGTGTGAGAGCGAGAGCCTGTCAAGAGAGTGTGAGTGAGCGCCTCTCAGAGTTTGTGTGTGCGAGTCTGTCAGAGTCTGCGTGCAAGTCTGTTGTCAGTGTAAGAGTGTGTGAGAGCCTGTCAAAATGTGTGCATGTAAGCCTGTTGTCAGCATGAGTATGTGAGAGCCTGTCAAGAGTTTGTGTGTGCGAGCCTGTCAAAGTGTGTGTGTGTGCAAGCCTGTTGTCAGCATGAGTGTGTATGTGAGCCTGTTAGTGTGTGTGCACGCGTTTAGGTACCTGCCCCCTCCGATCACATGAGGAGGGTGTTTACTTACCTTTCTTCCCATTTTCCCACGCCATGCCAGTTTCACCATGACTGAGATGATCAATCTGTATGATCTCAGCTAGGCCAATGCTTTCCCTTAGGAAAGCATTGGGAGGATTTTATGCATGCGCAGCAAATGTACCAATCCGGATCTCCTCATAGAGATGAATTACATTAATCAATCTCTATGAGGAACATTCAGCGGCTCCATTCAGAGCTTGGAGACACTGAACCTGGATGCTGCACATGGTGCAGCAGTGACCCAGGACTCTCTAGTGGCCATCTGAGTAACGGTCACTGGAGGTGTTAGTAAGCAGCAATGTTTTTCACGGAAAAGGCAGTATTTACACTGAAACGCCTGCAGGGACAGGCTATAGACACGAGAACAACTACATCAAGCTGTAGTGGTTCTGGTGACTATAGTGTACCTTTAAGAATTGCACTTTTTCGTTGAAAAACTAGCTCCTAACTTTTTTAGCTGGCTCCTATATTCCAAACAAATTTGTCAAGCCCTGTTATAATAATAATAATAAAACCCACTGTGTGAGGTGATAAAATGCTGTGTGAGGTGATAGAATCCGCTGTGTGAGGTGATAAAATCCTGCTGTGTGAGGTGATAAAATCCTGCTGTGTGAGGTGATAAAACCCGCTGTGTGAAGTGATAAAATGCTGTGCGAGGTGATAAAATCCACAGGGTGAGGTGATAAAATGCTGGGTGAGGTGATAAAACCCGCTGTGTGAGGTGATAAAATCCGCTGTGTGAGGTGATAAAATGCTGTGTGAGGTGATACAATCCACTGTGTGAGGTGATAAAATCCACTGTGTCAGGTGATAAAATGCTGTGTCAGGTGATAAAATCTGCTGTGTGAGGTGATAAAATCTGCTGAGTGAGGTGATAAAACCCGCTGCGTGAGTGATAAAATGCTGTGTGAGGTGATAAAATGCTGTGTGAGGTGGTAAAACCCGCTGTGTGAGGTGATAAAATCCACTGAGTGAGGTGATAAAACCCGCTGTGTGAGGTGATAAAATCCGCTGAGTGAGGTGATAAAATCTGCTGTGTGAGGTGATAAAATGCCGTGTGAGGTGATAAAATCTGCTGTGTGAGATGATAAAATCCTGCTGCGTGAGGTGATAAACTCCGCTGAGTGAGGTGCTAAAATGCTGTGTGAGGTGATAAAACCCGCTGTGTGAGGTGATAAAATCCGCAGGGTGAGGTGATAAAATCCTGCTGCGTGAGGTGATAAACCCAGCTGAGTGAGTTGATAAAATGCTGTGTGAGGTGATAAAACCGGCTGTGTGAGGTGATAAAACCCGCTGTGTGAGGTGATAAAATCTGCTGCGTGAGGTGATAAAATCTGCTGCGTGAGGTGATAAAATGCTGTGTGAGGTGATAAAATCCTGCTGCGTGAGGTGATAAAGTCCGCAGGGTGAGGTAGCAGGGTGAGATGATAAAACCCGCTGAGTGAGTTGATAAAATCCGCAGGGTGAGGTGATAAAGGCGGGAAAAATGGAAAGGCTGAGAGAGCCTATTAAAAGCTAAAGGGTAACAAAGCAAATCCCTTTAGACAAGTAAGACAAGGAATAGAAATAAAAGAAACATGCAACAAATGAAAAATACATATTAAAAGTAAAAAAAAAAATCACAAGTTAAAAGGTATTTTAATTTAAAAACTTAAGGCAATATAATTAGAATAGACTCAACTGGAAGGCAAGCAACAAAGAAAGAGGAAGTGTGAGGAGTCTAAGTGCACTACATGTTATTGATATACATTCTGATTGGTTGATTTTTTTCATCCACATTGTTAACTATTTCTTTCCTGCTGAGAGATTTCAGTAAAGAAGGATAAGCAAATATGAAGCCTCCTGTCTTGCCATAAAATTGGCAGCCAACTTCTGTCCAGGTGATCTAGACCTCCCATGATGTTTTGCCAGTCTTTATCTAGTAAAGAAAGCATAATTTGTATCTGTAACAGCTGGAGGACCAGCACTGCAGCAATGCCAACTTCCTTAATGGAATGATTTGTATTAGAGTTATATATGTGGTTTGCATAAATAGGCAATATAGTAACTATTACATAAAGGAAAAATATATTAACTGTAAAGGGGGCACCCGGATTTGAACCGGGGACCTCTTGATCTGCAGTCAAATGCTCTGCCACTGAGTTATACCCCCCACACACTCCTAGCAGGTAAAACAACTAGTAACAGCCACAAGGAGTGTTGTAGAACAGTGTTGTGCATTTCAGGGATTGTGCAGCTTAAATAAATAATACAAGAAATAGATTTACTGTTGTCCTAGAACTGCAGCTCACATGATGCTTTACCAGCCTTCAGGTTGGCAAATCATCAAGGGAGCTGCAGTTCTGCAACACCAGGAGAGCCACCTTAACCCTCCCCCTGTAGTTTCTTACTATTTAGAAAGGCTTGCCAACTATTCCTCTTGTTGTGTATCCTCCTTCTGCAGTTCATGTGAAATCTCTTATCACACCCCTGCCTTATCTTTAATGTGTAAAGTATTCAGTAAATCCAATGAATCCAACCTTGTTTAACCATGATCTCATGTAGGATAACAGGGTCAGCTCCCAGATGCTCAAATCTCCAAAATTCTAAAGAGAACCTTCCTTGGTGTATTTACTATAATTTCTTGAGGATTAATTGCTCTATTGTCTATGTGGCCTGTGTCACCTTCTGGTTTAGATAAAGAGCAACAGTGGGATTAATTCTTAATCAGATGGCATGATATATTGGTGTGGGAATGCAGTCTAGCAGCCATTCTGAGTCAGCTGTTCTGATGATAATGTTTCTTGCCTGCCTCTTGTGTCTGGCTGCCCACATGGGCAGCAGCCTGGCTTCTTGTCCCAAAAGATGTACTTGCAATTTCCCCAGGGTAATTCAGTGTTTTAGGGTGTCAGATGTACCTGGGGACATCCCTGACAGCACCAGGAAGCTGTACATAAGCCACAGCAAAATCAAGCACTTTCAGGTAATTATAAGACTACTACTATTCTCATTATTGTCAATTTATATATATAATTTCTAATAATACCTTAGGACTGATTTTTGTTCCTTTTCAGATGTTATTACTTTAATGATTTGCAATTTTGTTTTCTAAATATAGTATACACTATATAGGATTTGCATTAGCATAGATATATTTATTCTCTTAAAAGTGCTATTGAGATTAGAATTGTTATATAAATATCCAAGCAAAGTAATTTTATGAATGACATAGTAGGATGAAATAGATATAAAATGGTCAAATAAAAAGTGTAAACATACAAATCAAAACAATGTCCAGAGATGTGAAGATTTTTTTAAAGTTATTTATTTGTCAGAAACAGAAAATAGTTTCAAATTCGGGCGCCTGCCAAGAGCCCTTAACATTGACAGGGTTAGTCATTGACATCTGATGTTTTTTACAAATGAAATCAGAATGCAAAACCGAAGGTGAAAAAAAAGTTAAGTTGATCTCAAATGTTTTCCAACTCGGCTATAGTTGCAACATTTTGCCCCAGTTTTTCCATTTGAATTTAATTTGTGAAAATGTAGAGTTTAGTGAATAACCATGAGTATCTTGTTGTCTGCCCCCCATTGTGTATGTTTGTAGTGACTGTATGTAATGTGTTTGATGGATATTTGTAGTGTGTGTGTCGTGTTCAGTGGCAGTGTGCAATATGTGTGGTTTGTGTAATCTGTGGATGTGGTGTCTTCTGGTTGTGTTTATTGTTAGTGTGTGTGTGTATTGTCTCTAATGTGTGCTTGTAATATGAATGTATTGGGTGTTTGTGTGTGTGCTTGCTGCATTTTGACCCATCTTGCTTACATTTATTCAGCGAGGTGTCTAGGATACCTGTTGGCCCAGCGGGTGTTATAAGGCCTGGTGGATAAGTAGGGGGTTCCCAGTGGATGTGTAACTGTGATTATAACCCTTGGTAATCTAGCAGTGTTCCTGTGCTCCACATGGAGACTAATCTCCATGATGGTTAAATGGTGCAGACCACAGTAATCACTCCTTCACGGTTAGTCAAAGCACAGAATGGGAATAGCAGGGGCTGTGCTTTGACATTAGTGATTGCTGGGACTGCAAGGAAGCAATTAATGTAGACTGCACGCAACAGAGGTGCAGACCACACATATCCTTGTCTGTCCTGGAACACCCTTCGTTTACCAGCAGCGGCCCTGTTTTTTTGCACATGGAAGGGCTGAAGGGAAAAAAACTGCCAATCGCCCACAACTACATGTGCCAGGTGATAGGAATTACCCATCTCTGACTTCATCTTAAAAGGTAAGTCTAACCACCATGCTCACTTTAGTCATTTGATGTGGTCATGGTGGTATGAATCTGTATTTGCAGCAGTTTTGCTTGAAACACTGCACATCCAGAGATTTATTACCTTTTGTGCTGGGGGATAGTTAGACCCCGTCCCCCAGCACCCCCCACCACACGTGATTTTGGCAACTCACACCAATTGGACTGCCAAATGTCAATTCAAATGTGCATAATATTTCAGCTGCTCCCTCCCTCTGTCTCCCTGCTTTCACCAGCTAAATAAGGTATGTTTCCAGGGCCGGATTAACATAGGAGCTGATGGAGCTGCAGCTCCAGCCCAGGCCCATGGAACACTACTCTTAGGTTTGCCACCTGACTGGTATTTTACTGGCACAGCTGGTATTTGAGGCTGCCTGGCCTTGCCAGTATTGCAGTAATACCAGCAATACAAATGCAGGTATTTTTCTCAGAATAAACGGAAATTACTCTGCAATACCAGCACTGTGTGGAGAGAGGCAGGGATAGGAAGTTACAGCATATCCCTGCCTCTCTCTACTACTCACTGATCCAGAAGGGAGCAGCAACATAGCACAGAGAGTCCAGACAGCAGCTCTATAGCTCAGGTAAGTGAGGGATGGGGAGAAAAGCAGCAGGGAGACATGGGGAAACCGAGACACTAGGGGACACATGGGGACACTGAGACACTAGGGGACACATGGGGACAGACACTAGGGGACACTGGGAGTCGTGGGGACACTGAGACACTTGGGGACACTAGAAAACATGTGGACACTGATACACTAGGGAACACTTGGAGACATGGGGACGCTATGAGACATAGGGACATTGGGAGACACTGAGACATTGGGACACAGATACACTATGTCCCCATGTCTCCCAGTGTCCCTAGTGTCTCAGTGTCCCCAAGTCTCCCAGTGTCTGTGTCCCATATCTCTTATTGTGCCTAGTATCCCCATGTCTCGCAGTGTCCCTAAATGGCCCAGTGTCCCCATGTCTATGTCCACAACTGTCCCCATGTCTCTCAGTGTCCCCATGTCTCCCAGTGCCTGTGTTCCCATGTCTTTTAGTGTCCCTAGTGTCCCCAAATGTTTCAGTGTCCCCATGTCTCACAGTGTCTGTGTCCCTTGTCTCTGTGTCCCTAGTGTCTGTGTCCCCATTTCTCCCAGTTCCCTAAATGTCTCAGTGTCCCCATGTCTCTCAGTGTCTCCATGTTTCCCAGTGTCCCTATGTCTGTATCCACAAGTGTCCCCATGTTTCCCAGTGTTGCCAAGTTTTTTAGTGTCTTTGGGTCTCTCAGTGTCCCCATGTCTCACTGTGTCCCCAGTATCCTAGTGACATGGGGACACAGACATTGGGGGACTGGGCAACATGGGGACACTGATCCTGTGATACATAGGGACACTGAGACACTGGGTGACTTGCAAGACTGAGACGCAGGGAGACAGGGAGACCCTGGGAGCAATCCATCTATATAGCAGAATCAACTGTGAGTAGTTTGTTGGTGATTTTACAGAATTTTCTCTTATGTCACTCCTTGTGATTTACATCATGTGATGTCACGCATAACTAATTAATTATACAAATGATTGAGGCTGGTATTTTTTTCCAAGAAAGGTGGAAACCCTAACTACTCTTCACATACTCTTGCTTAAAGGAGCACTATAGGGTCAGAAACACAATCATGAATTTCTGACCCTATTATGTTAAAACCACCATCTAGCCCCCCTGACCCCTCTTGCCTCCCTAAATATAGTAAAATATTACTTGTATTCAAGTCTGCAGCTGCTGCCTCTGCCTCTGAACTTACTGTCTGCTGACATCATCAGAAGTGGTGGTCTGAGCAAATTACAATACTTCCCCATAGGATTGGCTGAGACTCTCAACTAGGCAGATCAAGGGCAGAGCCAGCACATGTCAAACATAGCCCTGGTCAATCAGCATCTCCTCATCAAGATAAATTGAATCAATGCATCTCCTCATCAAGATAAATTGAATCAATGCATGAGGAAGGTTCAGTGTCTGCATGCAGAGGTTGGAGACACTGAATGGCAGTACTGCACACTAGGCAGTACTGCCCCAGGAAGCACCTCTAGCAACCATCTGTGGCCAGTGAAGTTATTTTTTCTGAAAAGACAGCGTTTACTGCAAAAAGCCTGAATGGAATGATTCTACTTACCAGAACAAATACAATAAGCTGTAGTTGTTCTGGTGACTATAGTGTCCCTTTAAGTTTGGAAGCTTAAGCCGGATGTATGGGAACAAAACTTGTGTGGACTGGCTGACAATAAAATCAGTTTAGGTAATGCAGACGTTGGTCTCTCTAACACTGTGGCATGTCCCCTTTCTTCTACACTCACTACATACACCTTTTCTCTGTCTCAGACTATATACCAGGAACTTCTGCCTGCTAGTAAGAAGGTAAGGAGACTAGTGGACCAGCGAGTGCTAGGGGACAGTCCTTAGAAAGCATTGAGCGAGCGCATCATTAAACACATTTATGCCAAGCTCAGGGTGCTGCCTGCATAGTATGTCCTTAGTTGGATAGCCTGCATGATTGGCAGGCAGGCTGACATGCATTCATGCCAGGCTGTCCTTCAAATTCTTTGGACAGACATGCCCCCTTTTTGGGCATGTTCTCCCATTTTGGCAGGTCTGGTCATGTGATTCGCACCAGTGGCCCACCCTTTCACACCACCAATTGACTTCCTGCTTCACTGGACACTGCTGTTAGGGGGTATGGATTTACTTGAAATATGAAAGCATAAATTAGAGAGGGATTAGCATAGGGTATGTGTTTTCTTATGGCTGCATCCTTTTGAGTTTCCCTCCAGCACCATCAGATACATGACGCTTGGGAATTATGACTATTTAAGTGTTTTTGGTCCATAAAATTCCGTAATTAGGCCCATCATAATTGTCAGCACTAGGCCCACCGGGCTCTTAATCTGGCCCTGTATGTTTCCATTGCTTTTAAAGTGGGTAAGGGGAGGCAAGCCACCTAAATGGTGGTTTTAACACTATAGGGGAAGGAATACGTTTTTGTTTCTGACCCTATAGTGTTCCTTTAAGTCCACTGCAAGGTCTGTATTATGGTTCTTCTGTCCCTTCAACTGTTTCTTTGTTAGTGGCTAAAATATCTTTCTGAAGATCCGATCTGTTCCTGATAATGTTCCTGTGTCTGAGTGTCTGCATAATACAACCTCCACACACAATCACTTTCAGACAACCCCACCCTCAATCACATTCAGACAACCTTAACACATAATCACACTCTTTGCCAAATTTGCAATTAAATATCACACTCAATCAACCACCACAATCACACCCAGCCAAGCCTCACACACAATCACACAACCAACCCCACACAATCACACATAGCTCTCACAAACATTCCACTCAGGTCTATTTCGAGTGGGACTAGGTCTAGGGAACATTTGCGCAGGAGTGCTCTTTTGTGCATGCTTAAAAAAAAACAAAAACACAAAAACAACTCTTTTTCAGGAAGTGTGTAGGGAGGCTGTGTCTTATCAAGGACGATAAAACAAAATAAATTAAAGGGACACTATAGTCACCAGAACAACTACTTAATGTAGTTCTGGTGAGTATAGCCTGTCCCTGCAAGCTTTTTGTTGTAATCACTGTATTTTCAGAGAAAAGGCAGTGTTTACATTGCTCCCTAGGGACATCTGCAGTGGCAGTCGCTCAGACGGCCACTAGAGTTGCTTCTTGGGTCACGCTCTGCATTATATGCGTGCACAGCCTATTGCATATGGGTGTGCACCCTAAAGCACAAACACACATGCTGCATGTGTTTGTGTGTGTGTATATATATATATATATTTGTGGTTAGAACTTAAATCGTATATGGAAATAGAGGAAGGTTGGTAGTGATGTGCCGAAACCAACATACGGGTAGGCATGTAATAAAGAGGGCCCACCAGAGGTAATGTAGTAATAATAGTAAGATATTAGAGGGAGTGGTGGGTGGGGTCACTCACACAGGAAACGGCATAGGTAAGCAGGGGGGGTAGAGTTTATATAGGGAAAACCCCTCCCACAAATTCAGGCCTATGGCCTTTTACTTGTGGTCAGAACTTAAATTGTATATGGAAGTAGAGGAAAGGGGGAAAGTTGGTAGCGGTGTGCCAAAACCAGCGTACGGGTAGGCCTGTAATAAAGAGGGCAAAAAGATATTGCAGGAAAACACACTTTATTGCAAACTCATAATGCTAAACATTTAAGTGTTCCTGAGTTCTTTTTTAGGCTGCGAGATATATGTGCTGTAGACTGAGGATTTCCATCTGCCCATTCTTTTAATAATATATACTGTGTGTCCATACTGGAGTTTGTGGAGGTTGACCCAATTCTGTCTGACCCAATTCTGAAGGAATGACCAGAAAACAAGGCGGGATTATGTCCCAGTCTTAGCAGCAACGTTCTAACATGAAATATAAACTTGGAAGTGGTAAGTGGTGTCTGTGAAGAAGTAGTAAGGGAGAGTCAGCTGGAAGACTGTTGCGCGTGGATAGATATAAGTCAAGTATTTTAACGGGACACCAGGGGTTATCTGTTGGAAAGAGAGGGATTGTGGAAGGATAGTAAGTGTGGTTAGTCTTAGATCTATGTAAAGATATAACGTAATGGTCGCTGTGTTTGACCATGTAATTTTAAACATGTGCTGATATCGGATTGACGGACCACAGTGAACTCTCGGGGTCGAAGGCGATGTAGAAGGCAATGTAAATGACTACTTTGATTATAGAGTTAGTCTGGACATTAAAGGGGTTTGTGTCCAATAGGTCTGATATGTTCCTAAATATGAGTAATCTATTGGTAGTAGAAGGTCGATCTATTTTGTTGATGCCTTTAAGAATGGTTTTGATGGGGTATGTAGAAAGAAAAGGTGGGTAATTGGGAAAGGTAGTGAAGAGGTGGTGTTGAATACCTGTAAGATATAATTTGATAGTGTTATGTGCTAATTTGTAAGTGACAAAAAGATGCAAAAGCCACCATGGTCTCGATAGAGTAATTATCCAAAATGTGAAACTCTCCACCAAATTTGCGGAAAACAATCAACACCCTATAGTATGCTGTGGGTCAATAAGTGGGTCAATAATCCCGTTAGTCCATGATTAGCTCCGGAAATGTTGGTATTCTGGATGCGAGTTTGTTGGCGGAGGGATGCACCTTGTAGAATGCCTGAAAATTAGACTGGGACAAAGCACCAGCTGCTGTGATATGAATGCCCAGAATGTGTTCGCAAACCAAGAAAAATTGTAGTTTGGCGGCCAGCCATGTCAATTTCTGTACCAATTGCATTATGGTCAAGGAGGAGGAGTGCCCTTTTGTGATGATCTCGCAAGCCACCAAATTATCTGAGAAACACTTGAGTGCCTTACCGGCCCACAGGTGACCCCAAGTATAGGCAGCTGCTACAATTGGGTAGATCTCAAAAAGGGCTGAAGTTTCCCTGAAGGCCGCTAAGGTAAGTGTTTCTAGAGGCCAAAAATCCTTAAACCAGTAGTTACCAAAAATTGCAGCGAATCCCGTGTGGGCTGCTGCATCAGTTCAAATTACAGGGGAGTGGTCGGTCAGTGGTGGAATGAACATGGAGATGCCGTTCCACTCTGCCACAAAGTGCCTTCACAAGCATAAATCAGATCAGTCATTTCTTAGGGAAAAGCTTAGAAGGGCACATGGATTTTGTATGTGCCCTGAAACAAATGGAGCAAATGTGCAACAACCAGCAAGCATTGTAATTACAGGTTTCTGCATTAAAGTTGTTGCACACCTGCACCTTGCCCAAGAATACAACTGGTCTGCCTTGCTTATCTCTTTGTCCCCTATCCTGACAGATGGAGGGGGCGGTGGAGGGGTGGGATGTAGAGGAGTCTGCTTTGCAGGTACACAAGTTGGAGGAGTGTGAGGTAGAGGAACAAACCGCACAAGATAGGGGTCTCAAGCTGGCGAAATGAATGCAGAACAGCTCTGTATCCAACTTATTCCATTCGAGTGTTGAACTGGGCCAGAGCTGCTGCTGCTTTAGATTATACCAATTTGTGGTAATCGTAGAAAGCAAAATCCACGTACTTGTGCTCTTGATTCACCACCTTGTGTAAATAGAGGTTGAATTCCTCTTGCCTCTGAGGGTATACAGAGCAGATGACTAGAGTTGAGCAAACCCGATGTGAGGAACTGACTCTGCTGGGTTTCGAACCCTGGTTTACATGGTGCTAAACCTTTTCCTTACCAGTACACCAGCCTGCCTTTTGCAAATTTACCTGAGATCTGATACTATTGCTTGTAGAGTCAAGGTTATCAGTGACAACTCACTTCAGCTGTGTCTGGTCAGGTGTCTGGTTCTTGGCCTATAAAAGCCACTTCCTGTCTCTGTACCTTTGCCAGATTATTGTGGTTCCTGTACTCTCTAATCAAGCGTGTTCCTGTTTCTCCTTCCTGTTGCTGAATTTGGACTGTTTTGACTTTGCTGCTTCTCCTTCCCACTGACCTCGGCTTGCCTCACTACGATTATCATCTTTCTGTTCCAGTCTCCCATCTCTGCTTAAGACCAGAAGGCCACTCAAGGCTCAGGGGCTCAACCACCTGGGTAACGAGTGGCTACCTCTGGCAGAAAACATTGCTGATCTGGCTACTGGACTCCAAAACTTTGTAACATCAATATCATTACAGAATAATCTGGCCCATTCATGGAGACCGTCGGATCAGATTCTGCATTGGCCCAGCAGGTTGCTTTTAATGCAAGAACTATGCAGACCCAGGCACAGACCATTCAAGTGCTGCAGGATCAGGTAGCTGAACTGCAAAATGAAGTTCGATCAATGCATAGTGAGCTTACCAGCTACAGGGCACATGATGTTGCGGCTGCTGCTACTACTACTGTTACACCTGCACAAGATGCCCGCTTGCCTCTACCAGAAAAATTTGGAGGAGACCGCAAAAAATTCAGGGGTTTCCTAAATCAGCAGGAGCTCCTATATTCTTTGTAGAAAAGAAAGATGGCAGTCTACGGCCATGTGTCGATTACAGGGACATTAATAAAATCACTGTTAAAAACCGTTATCCCTTGCCTCTCATTTCTGAACTTCTGGAGAGACTTCGTTCAGCTAAAATATTTACGAAGCTTGATCTACGGGGGGCATTTAATCTGGTTCGCATAAGACCAAATGATGAATGGAAAACAGCTTTCAGAACCAGGTACGGACATTACGAATATCTAGTAATGCCATTTGGGCTTTGTAATGCCCCTGCAACTTTTCAGCATCTAATCAATGATGTACTACGGGATCTCCTGGATCAGTTTGTTGTGGCATATTTGGATGATATCCTGATATTTTCTGATAATCTTGAAAATCACAGAAAACAGGTCTGCATTGTTCTTGAGCGCCTTCGTACCCACCACCTATACATTAAACTGGAAAAATGTGAGTTTGAACAAACAGAAATTCAGTTCCTGGGGTATGTAATAACTCCTAAAGGTTTAAGTATGGACGCAAGTAAAATTAAAGCTGTGCTGGACTGGCCCATCCCCAAGAATGAAAAAGATATACAGAGATTTGTGGGGTTTGCCAATTTTTACAGGCGTTTCATTAAGAATTTCTCTGCCGTTATTACACCGATCACTGAACTTACACGTAAAGGGACTCCTTTTCAGTGGTCCAATAAGGCTGACACTGCATTTTCCAGATTAAAGACTCTGTTTACATCTGCCCCTATCTTGGTACATCCTCAGCCAGAATTGCCATTTACTGTAGAGGTAGATGCTTCTGATTCAGCTGTTGGGGCTATACTGTCTCAAAGGACTGGACCTAAGATGTTGTTACATCCATGTGCCTTCTATTCCCGCCAGATGTTACCAGCAGAAAGAAATTATGACATAGGGAATAAAGAACTTTTGGCTATAAAAGCTGCCTTCACCGAATGGAGACATCTCTTGGAGGGAGCCACCCATCCAATTACTGTCCTCACAGATCACAAAAATCTGGAATGTATCCAATCCGCTAAGAGACTGTCAGCCAGACAAGCACGCTGGTCCCTATTTTTCTCAAGGTTTAATTTTTTATTTCATACCGCCCTGGTTCCAGAAATGGCAAGGCGGATGCCTTGTCTAGGATAGCTGACCCCCTCCATACTACAGTAACCAAGGCCACCATCTTGCCGGAGAGCAGATTTTTAGGAGTTACCTTTCCTTCTGATCTAATGTCTCGCATTAAAAAGGGCTACTCTAAAGATCCAGTTTTTCGTGATCCTCCTCGTGATCTTCATATGACCATGCTTAATGGGTTTTGGATTTTTCAACAACGTCTGTTTGTTCCAGAATCAGTGCGACTGGACGTTTTACGCCTCTACCATGACTCTAAACCAGCAGGTCATCCAGGAATCCGAAAGACACAAGAACTACTTACCCGATCCTTTTGGTGGCCTAAATATTATGAGGATGTTAAGAAGTATGTGTCCTCTTGTGATGTATGTGCCAGACATAAGACTCCTCGCTCATCCCCTGTTGGCTTGCTTCAGCCTCTTCCGATTCCTCATCGTCCCTGGGGATCTATATCCATGGACTTTATTGTGGAACTACCTCCCTCTAAGGAACACACTACTATTCTTGTTGTTGTGGACCGGTTAACTAAGATGAGTCATTTCATACCAGCTCGTGGTCTCCCTTCAGCTAAACAGACTGCTGACCTTGTTATTCGGGAAATATTTCGCTTGCATGGAGTGCCTGATGAAGTAATTTCTGACAGGGGAGTGCAGTTTACATCTCATTTTTGGAAATATTTTTGTTCTATTCTAGGTATTAATGTAAATCTGTCTTCAGCTTTTCATCCACAAAGTAATGGACAGACTGAGCGAACCAACCAGACTTTAGAACAATATTTGCGGTGCTATATTAGTTACCTGCAGGATGACTGGCTGGATTTTCTACCCACGGCGGAGTTTGCCTATAACAATGCCCAACACTGCTCCACTTCTCTGAGCCCATTTTTTTGCCAATTATGGTTACCATCCAACCTTTCTAGTGAGTCTCCCAATTACTACTCCCATTCCTGCAGTCACTGACCGGCTAACCGCCTTACGAGATTCCCAAGAACTGTTGAAGGAGACTCTTTCGGAGGCTCAGGAATGTTACAAAAGAGCTGCTGATAGGCACAGAAAGGAGGCCCCAGTTTATCATGTTGGTGACAAGGTTTGGCTGTCAACAAAGAATCTTAAGCTTAGGATTCCTTCTCATAAATTGGGTCAAAAGTTCATGGGACCTTTTAAGATAATCGCTCAGATCAATGCAGTCACCTTCCGTCTGCAACTTCCGGATTCCATGAAAATACATCCGGTATTTCACGTGGCACTGCTTAAACCTTTTCATGAAAATACTTTCCCTGGTCGAGCCTTGCCTTCCCCACCACCAGTCCTCGTGGATGGTGAAGATGAATACGAGGTGGAAAAAATTCTTGACTCCAGGATCTTCCGCAACAAGCTTCAATACTTGGTTCATTGGAAAGGCTATGGTGAGGAGGATAGATCGTGGGAACCAGTGGACAATATTCATGCTCCTTTCCATGCACAGTACCCTGCTAAACCAGGAAATAGGGCATCCAGAGGCTGCGCCTGTAGAGGTGGAGGTAATGTGAGGAACTGACTCTGCTGGGTTTCGAACCCTGGTTTACATGGTGCTAAACCTTTTCCTTACCAGTACACCAGCCTGCCTTTTGCAAATTTACCTGAGATCTGATACTATTGCTTGTAGAGTCAAGGTTATCAGTGACAACTCACTTCAGCTGTGTCTGGTCAGGTGTCTGGTTCTTGGCCTATAAAAGCCACTTCCTGTCTCTGTACCTTTGCCAGATTATTGTGGTTCCTGTACTCTCTAATCCAGCGTGTTCCTGTTTCTCCTTCCTGTTGCTGAATTTGGACTGTTTTTGACTTTGCTGCTTCTCCTTCCCACTGACCTCGGCTTGCCTCACTACGATTATCATCTTTCTGTTCCAGTCTCCCATCTCTGCTTAAGACCAGAAGGCCACTCAAGGCTCAGGGGCTCAACCACCTGGGTAACGAGTGGCTACCTCTGGCAGAAAACATTGCTGATCTGGCTACTGGACTCCAAAACTTTGTAACATCAATATCATTACACCCGAACCACAAAGTTCAGGTTCGTACCGAACATTAAGTTTTTTGGACCCCGGACCCAAACACAGACATTTCAGTGTATGTTCGGGTTGGAGATCGGTGTTCGGTGATTTAATGGCGCGTTTTGAAAGGCTGCAGGGCAGCCAATCAACAAGGGTTTGACTCGTTTGCCCTTAGAAGCCATCACAGCCATCCGTCAAACACTGTGCTTTCAGCGCACTTTGAAAAATTCTAATTTATTTGGGTGCTAAATGGTAAATTTGCAGCCTGCACTTCATATCTGAGAGTCAAATAGAACCGTCAAACACTGTGCTTTTAGCGCACTTTGAAAAATTCAAATTTATTTGGGTGCTAAATAGTAAATTTGCAGCCTGCACTTCGTATCTGACAGTCAAAAAGAACCGTCAAACACTGTGCTTTCAGCGCACTTTGAAAAATTAAAATTGTTTTGGGTGATAAAAAGTAAAATTTGGGGTGTGCACTTCATATCTGAGGGTCAAATAGAACCGTCAAATACTGTGGTTACAGCGCAGTTTGACCAATTCAAATATTTTTGGGTGCTAAATAGTACATTTGCGGCCTGCACTTCATATCTGACAGTCAAATAGAACTGTCAAATACCAATATAACAATATTGTAATTCGGGGGCAAACTGAGAGGTCAGTTTATAGGGAAAACTGTTGCCTGGATACAATTCTAAAACAATTCCCATATGTCCTTTGCAGAGTTTAAATGCTGGAAAAACACAGGTGCCAACTGATGTTGAAGTTAGGAATCAGTGTGGAATGGATCAACAGGGTCTGGTGCAGGGTAACCGCACGCCCCCTGGTGTTTAGCACCATTGTTTGTGCGGCCACATACCAGGACCCTGATGCAGCTTCAGTAAAAAGAATACTGGATACCAGAAGCCATCATCAGACTGATCCGCAACTTGGAACAGGATGTGACATTCACTGTAGCAGCTGTGTTCGCTTTCAGCGTTCTCACCCTGCTGCTGCCCACCTCATATGCGATGTGCCCACAAGGTGGAACTCCACCTTGCACATGCTGGAGAGACTGTGCGAGCAGCAGCAGGCGATAGTGGAGTTTCAGCTGCAGCACTCACAGGTCAGTCGCTCTGCACCAGACTTGCTCTCCAATTGATCCTAGTTAAAGGATTTCAAGTGGACTCATTACAATTACAGGGCCTCCAAAGAGACCTGTATTGTTATTTGTCGTCACTACTTCCCCGCATCGGGAGTGGGTAATTTGCGCGCCTGCTGCCTTCCTTGGACGTGGTAGCTGTTTCTTAGGCTCCCTCTCCGAAACGAACCCTGATTCCCTGTTACCCGTGGTCACCATGGGACGTGCGATTGGCCCAAGGTTCTCTAGAGTCACCAAAGTGCCTGCGTAACTATAATGTCGACAGCTACTCTGCCGAATGGATTTTCACTAGTAGATAGGGGATGGTGGGGGGCCATGGGTCTGTTGGCAGGGACATGGGATCCCGCCGCTTGCCACCAATTTAAGCGGGACCTGGGTAACCGATGGTTATCCCCTTTGATTAGAATAGGTCAGACCCATTTCCCCAGTAACCGTATGGGACACAGTTCCAGGATACAACGTCTGACAATCTTTATTTGGGTACACAGCTTTGCCTCCTGTTGCCTCCTCCTCCTACTCCTCTACCACCTTCTCATCCGGTCAGCGTTAACACCTTCACCACCAACTTCAGCACAGCCAGAGGGAAACGACAGCAGGCGGTTTTAAAACTCATATGTTTGGGGGAAAAACCCCACACCGCGCAGGAGCTGTGGAACGGCATGGAACAAAAGACCGATGAGTGGTTGTTGGAACTGAGCCTCAAGCCCGGCCTGGTGGTGTGCGATAATGGGTGAAATCTCGTAGCAGCTCTGGGCCTAGTCGGTTTGTCGCACATCCCTTGCCTGACGCATGTGCTGTATTTTGTGGTGCAGAAATTCCTGAAAAACTACCCATATATATCAGAGCTGCTGCAGAAAGTGTGTGCTGTCTGTGCGCGCTTTCGGTGTTCTGACCCTGCTGCTGCTCGCCTGTCTGCGCTGCAGCGTAACTTCGGCCTTCCCACTCACCGCCTCATATGCGACGTGCCCACAAGGTGGAACTCCACCTTGCACATGCTGGAGAGACTGTGCGAGCAGCAGCAGGCGATAGTGGAGTTTCAGCTGCAGCACGCATGGGTTAGTTGCTCTGCGGAACAGCACCACTTCACCACCAATGATTGGGCCTGCATGCAAGACCTGTGTGCCATGTTGCGCTGTTTCGAGTACTCCACCAACATGGCCAGTGTCGATGACACCGTTCACAGCCTTACTATCCCGCTTCTATGTCTCCTTGAAAAAACGCTCCGGGCGATGATGGAAGAGGATGTGGCACAGGAGTAAGAGGAGGAGGAAGAGGGGTCATTTCCATGGTTATCAGGCCAGTCATTCACAAGTGGCTCAGGTACACAATTGTCCAGCATCTCCACACTGTCCCATGGAAGCGTTCAGCTGTCTATCTTCAAAACACTGGAGAGAAAGAGGAAGTACCGCCCTAGCCACCCGCGATCCCTGGCCCTGAATGCCAGCATTTCAAAATTTGTGGCCTTTGAAATTCTGTCATTCCATTTTAAAAACCTGATGGCGTTATTGGACTGCAAGAAATGCACCGCAGGCCGCAAATGTTTCTTTTTTTTTATATGTCCCAATATTTTGGGGGCTACTCCAATTAAAAAAAAAACAAACAAAAAAAAAAAAACAGTGTTGGCTACCTCCTCCTCCTCCACCGCTGCTTCCACCTACACCGCCACGGTCACTGCCTCCTCAACCTATGGGTCACTTAGTATAAACTATGTACACAATAGCAGAGGCTTGTGAAGACCTTTTCTCCATGCATCAGAAGTTGAGCATTTCTCCATGCATCAGGACTGCAAGAAATGCACCGCAGGCCGCAAATGTTTCTTTTTTTATATGTCCCAATATTTTGGAGGCTAACCTAATTAAAAAACAAAACAAAACACACCAAACAAATAAACAGTGTTGGCTACCTCCTCCTCCTCAACTGCCACTTCCACCTACACCACTACGGTCACCGCCTCCTCAACCTATGGGTCACTTAGTATAAACTATGTACACAATAGCAGAGGCTTGGGAAGGCCTTTTCTGCATGCATCATGAGATGAGCTCAGTTTGAACAATGAAAGAGAATACCCTGCACTCCAACCCTCTCTCAAATGGATAATTCTGGTGATCCTCCTAACAGCCATGCTTTAGATTTTGATTTATGTTCTTCCAAAGCTAAAATCAAAGATTCCATCTAGTAATATTTTATGGCTCAGCTGTATTTTTAATGTTTATGTATTTTATCTTATTTTAAGTGATTTCCCTATCTACATTTGTTTGCAGGGCACTTGTCCTACTCTTACCCCCATTTTACTTCCTTTTGCAGCCCTCTAGCCCTTTCCAATACTTTTTTAGAACCATTTGTGTGCCCAAAAGGTTGGGTTACCATTGACTTCAATGGGGTTCGGGGTCAAATTCGGGGTCAAGTTCGAGCCCAGGTGTCAGCTCAACTCTACAGATGACATCTCTGCTGACAAACATCTCTGTCCAAAGCCGAGAATGAATTCGGGGATTGAGAGTTTTTTGTTAAGATGTTGGTCCCTTGTTTTTAGGATCACGGAAATATCTCCGTCATTAAAAGCTCTATTTTCTAAAATGTCCTGCGAAGCAATAAGGAGAGAGACTAGGATGACATCATTACCATCTAGAATGTCTTTCTTAATGGAAGCTGGAACCGAATGTGCAGGGGTGATGACGTCTGAAGTGGAGGGAGTAATAGTAATGGCACTACCCTGTGTGTTTGAGGGTGCAGGTGTGGGGGCTGGAACGTTAGATGCATTGATAACTGTAGGGATGATGGTTTCTGTCTTGGTCATCCTCTCGTTAAGCGACTGTCAGGATTACAAGTTGATCCAGTACGCAGTACTGTGTCACACCTAGGACTAA